TCACCAATTTTCAAACTTTTTTTTTTGAGAGAGAAAGAGAGAGAGTAAGCACAGCAGTTTTCGGGGGAGGGCAGAGGGGTAGGGTGGGAGAATCTTAAGCAGGCTCTATGCTCACTACGGAGCCCAACACCGGGCTTGATCTCATGACCACAAGATCACAACCTGAGCTGAAATCAAGAGTTGGACACTTACCCAACTGCACCACCCAGGCGCCCCTAAATTTTTTCACTGTTATTTGTCACAGTGCTCTGTGACCAGGGATCTTTTCTGTCACTGTTGTAACTGCTTGGGGGCATCCCAAACCACGCCCACAGAAGATGGCAAACTTAACGTGTGTGTTCGGACTCCTCCAACCACCGGGCTTTCCCATTGCTCTCCCTTTCCCTGAGACACAACAATAGTGAAATCAGCCAGTTAACACCCTAGAAGGGCCTCTAAGTGTTCAAGTGTAAGAAAGAGCTGCACGCCTCACACTTTACATCAAAAAGCTAGAAATGATTAAGCTTAGTGAGCAGGCGCGTCCAAAGCCAAGACAGGCTGAAAGCTAGGCCTCTTAGGCCAACTAGCAAGTTGTGTGTGCAAAGGAAAGTTCCTGAAGGAAATAAAGAGTGCTGTCACAGCAAGCCCATGAATGATAAGAGAGCAAAATGGCCTTAAGGAAAAAAAAAAAAGCAAGCGAACAAGCAAAACAGGCTTATTGCCAATATGGAGAAAGTTTTAGTGATCTGGATAGAAAGATCAAACCAGCCACAACATTCCCTTCAGCCAAAGGGTCTTCTTTGGGGCTCATGCAGCTGGTGACTTCCCCTGGAAGCCAATGCTCATTTCTCATTCCGAAGGCCCTAGGGCCCTTGAGAATAAGGCTTAATCTACTCTGCCTGTGCTCCATCAGTGGAACAACAAAGCCTGGATGATAGCACATCTGTTTACAACATGATTTACTGAATATTTTAAGCCCACTGTTGAGACCTGCTGCTCAGGGGAAAAAAGGGGGATTCCTTTCATATGACTGCTCACTGACAATGCACTTGCTCACCCAGGAGCTCTGATGGAGACAGGCACATAGATTCAAGCAGTCTTCACACCTGCTGAAACAACATGCCTTCTGCAGCTCAGGGACCGGGCAGTCATTTCCATCATCAAATCCTACTATTTAAGAATTGCATCTCAGAAGGCTGTAGCTGCCGTAGCCAGTGATTCCCCTGACAGACCTGCACAAAGTACACTGAGAAGCTTCTGGAAAGGACTCCCTCTTCTAGAGGCCGTGAAGACTATTTGTGACTTATGGGAAGAGGTCAAAATAACCACATGAACAGGAGTCTGGAAGAAGCTGAATCCAGCCCTCATGGATGACTTTGAGGGGTTCCGGACTTCAGTGGGGGAAGCAATGGCAGATGCGGTGGAAACAGCAAGGGGGCTGGAATCGGAAGCGGAGCCCGAAGATCAGCCTGAATGGCTTTGATCTCGTGATCAGACATGAAGAGATGGGGAGCTGCTGCTTAGGAATGAGCAAAGAAAGTGGTTTCTTGAGATGGAATCTACTCCAGTGAAGATGCTGTGAAGACTGTTGAACTGACAACAGAGGATTTAGAATAGCACAAAAACTTAGTTGATAAAGGAGCAGCAGGGGAGGGGGGCCTGGGTGGCTCAGCTAAGCGACCAACTCTTGGTCTTGGCTCAGGTCATGATCTCAGGGTTGTGAGATCAAGCCTTGCATAGGGCTCCAGGCTCTGGGTAGAATTGCCTGGAGATTCTCTCCCTCTCTGCCCCTCCCCCTGCTCGCACTCTTTCTCTCTCACTCTCTCTCTCAATAAATAAAGAAATAAAATCTTTTTTAGGGGCACCTAGGTGGCTCAGTCAGTTAAGCTCTGCCTCCAGCTCAGGTTGTGATCCCAGGGTCCTGGGATATTGTCCCCCATCAGCTCCCTGTTCAGCAGGGCATCTGTTTCTCCCTTTCCTCTCCCTCTCTCCCTGCTTGTGCTTTCTCTGTCAAATAAATAAAATCTTTAAAAGAAATAAAATATTTTTTTAAAAAGCAGTAAGGGGTGCCTGGGTGGCTCAGTGGGTTAGGCCTCTGACTTTAGTTGAGGTCATGATCTCGGGGGTCCTAAGATCGAGCCCCGCATCGGGCTTTTGCTCAGCGGGGAGCCTACTTCCTCCTCTCTCTGTCTGCCTCTCTGCCTACTTGTGATTTCTCTCTGTCAAATAAACAAATAATCTTTAAAAAAAAAACAGTACCGCTTGCTATAAAGAAATGGGAGAAACTGGGGTGCCTGGGTGGCTCAGTGGGTTAAAGCCTCTGCCTTCAGCTCAGGTCATGATCCCAGGGTCCTGGGATCGAGCCCCACATCGGGCTCTCTGCTCAGCAGGGAGCCTGCTTTCTCCTCTCTCTGCCTCCCTCTCTGCCTACTTGTGATCTCTGTCAAATACATAAATAAAATCTTTAAAAAAAAAAATGGGAGAAATTGTTTGTGAAAGGGCGTCAATTAATGTGGCAATCTTCATTGTTGTCTTAGCCAAAGAAATTGCCACAGCCACCCAAGCCTATAGCAGCTACCATCCTGATGGGTCAACAGCCATCACGTCCAAGCAAGACCCTCCATACGTCCAGGCAACACCCTCCACCAACAAAAAGATTACAACTTGCTGAGAAGTTCAGGTGATGGTAAGCATTTTTTAGCAATAAAGGTTTTTTTTTTTTAATTAAGGTATGCATCGTTTTTTAAATACACACCATTTTATTTTTTACATATTTTATACATAGGCTACATTTTAGAGAGAATGCTATTGCACACTGAAGAGACTGTGGTGTAGTGTAAACATAAGTTTTATACATACTGGGAAACCAAAAATTAATTCTACTCACTTTATCGTGATATTCGCTTCCTTGCAGTGGTCTGGAACCCAGCCTGCAAATCTCCCTGAGGTATGCCTGTATTTATAAAGGATATATTTTTTAAAAGATTTTATTTATTTATTTGACAGACAGAGATCACTAGTAGGTAGAGAGGCAGGCAGAGGGGGTGGGGGGAAGCAGGCTCCCTGCCAAGCAGAGAGCCCAATGCAGGGCTCAATCCCGGGGCCCTGAGATCATGACCTGAGCCAAAGGCGGAGACTTAACCCACTGAGCCACCCAGGCGACCCTATAAAGGGTATTTTAATGAAATGTGGAAGGACTTACGTTAAAGTATTTTAGGAACATGAAGTTATACATATATGTTCTCAACTCAAAAATGCCCTTCTAGAAAAGAGCTGAAGGGAATATATACATATGTATTTAAGATATATAAAGGGGCACCTGGGTGGCTTAGTCAGAAGGCTCTTGATTTCAGCTCAGGTCATGATCTCAGGGTCATGAGACCGAGCCCGTCAGGCTCCACACCAGGCATGGAGCCTGCTTAAGATTCTCTCCCTTTCCCACTCTGACAGGATCCCTACCCCTGCCCCACACATGTGCTCTTTCTCTAAAGAAAAAATATATAAATAAAAATAAAATAAAATATGTAAACATATTACTGACATGCCAATGATCAGCACATAGTTGTTGAAACTGGTAGACTGTGAGCGGGCTTTTTTCTTCTTCCCATTTTTCTATAGTTTCCAAATTCCTCTAAATGAAAGTTATTTTCTTTTCAGACAGAAAAAACTATTATGGCCTTACTGTTGTAAAATTATTTGCTCTCAGTAAATGTTTAAAAGAGCAATTCTTAAGAAACTAAAAAACCAGAAACAAGTCATTTTTTAAGAAGAGGGAGAAGTTGCTAAGGAACTCTTCAAAATTGGTCCTATTCTGAGGGCTAGGCCTCAGCACACACTGAGAATGTTACAAAGCATGAGAACATGTTATATGGAAAAGTCACATTCCTTGGGCAGACGAGGCCTGGGGTTGGGGTGGGGAGCCCAGGGCCCTGAGCCCCCACCTTCCGATCCAGGACAGCCAGCGTGAGACAATCTCTGGCTAGGCATTCTGCTCTCATGTGTGGCTTTAGCATCTGGAAATGGCTAGAACGAATTCATAAATGAGGCCTTCTGGAGCAGGCCGGAGCCCCGGTTCTGGCCAGGCACAAGCCTGGTGGCTGGCGGCCCTCAGGAGGCAGGGGCAGCAGGAGAGCTTCTGCCCAGAGGTGCCTGGTGAGTCTGCCAGGGAGAGACGGGGCTGGGGCCCAGCAAGCTGACGGGAGGGGAGGAAGCCAGCCTCCTGCTCCCTCACTGGGCCCTCGGTTACTCCCCCTCCTGTCCCAGGGCTGAGTGCTTCTGAAGCGCCAGCCCTTCTAGCTCCCACTCAGCTGCTGTAGACTTCTCTGTCACCAACCCGAGACCCTGCACGGCACAGGTCACATTCCACTTTCCCCCTTACTTGGGCAGCACATTCCAGCAACCTCTGTGACCACGCGAGGAGGTAACCCGGAGACTGCACGTGAAACGTAGACTGGGGCCAAGTCGTTTAAGCCTGGATCCCAAAGACAGAGGCCTGCTCCCACCCGTTAAGATCATGTGCCGGAGAGCCTGCAGATGGCCACGCCACACCTTCCCCCTGAGGAATCAGCACCCCTGAGGGTAGGACCTGGAAACGGCATTTTAACAAGTCCCCCAGAAGAGCCTCCTGTCCCAAGTTTGAGAACCACTGGCCTCCAGTCTGCTTGTGAGTGTGGATTCCCACATTGACCCCACGGTCCCGAGAGGCTGGAAGTAAGGAAGTAGGAGACGGAGAGGATACCAGTCCTCCAACTGGTATGACAGGAATGTGCCCCAGACCTGGAGCCAAGTGCCCACTTCAGAGGGGGCAGGCTGGACGAGGGCCTGGGGCAGCAGCTGTGTCCCCGGTAGGCCTCGCCTGCCACCCAGCTTCCTTAGTCCGTTTCCATGGGCACACACACACACAGCAGCCAAGCACAGTCGCTCCCCTTGGGACCTGCCATCTCTGGATCCGTGATGCTCCTGGATCCTCCCTCTGCCACCACGCCCAGGGCTCTCCCTCTCTGAACAGAGATCCCACCTGCCTCATAACTTAAATAATTTTTATTTCTCATGCACTAGGAAAGATGGGATTGTATGAAACACTGCATTTCACAGCAAAGGCCTAGGTCCAAAACACAATGCAGAGAGCCAGGTGGATTCAGATCTGGTCAAAAACTCTGGGGACCGTGGTGGGACTCCCACCCCCAGGGCTGGTGACAAATGCAGGGCCCTCCAGCTGCAGTGGCCCCAGACACAACACAGGGCAGCTGCCCCCTCCCACAGAGGCACAGGAAGCTGACACCAGAGGAGCATGTGGACCAGCGAAAGGACAGAGGAGACTGCTAGGCAGTGACGTGGGGGAGGTGGTGGTCCAGCGCCTCTGAGGCCAGAGTCCAGGCTGCCAGGGGTGTGACTGAGCTCTCCGCCCAGCCGGGCTCGTTAGAGCTGCCTGAGCGCCACAGATGCCCTGGCAGATCTGCTTGGGCCCCACCCGCCTGGCTCTTCAGCCACACACATGAGACAACATCTGCCCAGGTGGGACCCCAAAGGCTGGAGGGGCCAGCCCCCCTCAACCATCCCAAGCCCCTGTGGACACCGAGACGCCCACAGGACAGCCAGGTTTCAGAAGTTCCCGGGACAGGGCCACGGGCAGGGCAGCCAGCAAACCTGGGCCATCAAGTCCCATCCGAGTCAAAACAAGGGCAAAGCAGACTGTGGGCCCCACCTTCCCAGAGGTGGCACAGGGACACACATAGGTTGAAGACATGCAGGACAGAACAAAAAAGAACAGACACATGCAGACACAATGGGGGGAGGGAGGGGAAGAGAAAACGTGGTTGAGGTGCTGAGAGGCGGGGGACACAGCGGGCTGGGCTCACTGAGGCCCCGGGCTTGTCGTGACCCCGCTCTCCTCGGGGATGGTCTCCAGCATCTCACTCTGGACTGCCTGTGTGATGAGCGCCAACTCCTGGCACAGAGTCTCATAGCGGTAGCCCACTCGGATGTCCGGCACGTTGGTGCGGCGGATATCATTGCCCTCGGGCCCCTCCTTGGTATAGTTGGGTCCCAGCCAGTGGCTCTTCACCTGCAGTGGGCAGGGCTGTCAGGCAGGGCCGCCCCAGGGCCAGCCCCCCTGGGACCTTCCCAAGCGCACAGAGGAGGAAAGGGCGGGCACCAGGCTCCAGGTGGGGGGGGGGGAGTACCTTGGGGGGAGAGCCCGCCCATGAGCACACTGTTACGGGCCAGCTCACACATGTCGCAGGAGCTGAGCTTCCACACCTGGGTGGCAATGCTATACTCCTCCATCAGTGGTTCCTGCACAGGCCAGGTGCCCTCAGGAGGGTGCAGGAGGGCCTGCCACCCAGTCCCAGCCCACCTCTCCTTTGCACCACCCCCTTCTGGGCGGGATCCGCCACAAGATGTGCCACACTCCACCAGCGGGGGGCAGCACCAGCCTCGAGACCCAGGGGCCCACGTGCCCTTAGCATCCCAGGACCACCTCACAGGCTCTGACCTTGGTGAAGTGGAACTGCAGGGGATCATCGGTGGACAGTGAGACCATGAGACCGCGGGACAGGTACTCGGGTAGCGGGTTCCGGTGGTAGCTGAGGAAAAGACTATTGTTGCTGAGTGGAGACATGGCGATGCCAATCTGGGCCAGGTAATACAGGTACTGCAGCACTGGGGCCTGGGTGGGCAACAGTGGGGGAGGGCCCGTCAGGCAGCCTCTGGTGGGCAGGACACCTGGTTCTGGAGGGTACAGACTGCAGGAGGAGGGGGTGGGGAGCCTGAGCTGGGCCTGACGTGTAGAGGGTCATTTACAGCCAAGATCCAAACGAGGCCCACGGTTTAGAGGCTGGGGTGTGCAGGGGGCCAAACTGGGGGTTTGGTGAGGAGGAAGATCAGTTGTTCAAGAGGCTTGAAGGGTTGAAAAGAAGGTGAGTGACCGGGAGGGGAGGCTGGGGGTGCAGACCCTGACCTTGCGCAGAAGCAGCCCATGAGAAATGTTCTCGGCCAGCATGAAGGCCGACACCAGGTGGTGGATGGGCCCGGCTTCCCCACAGTGTGGCCTCAGCACAAACGTGTGAAAGCCCCTCTGCCTGGGGGTTAGAGAGAGCGTGTTAGCGCCCAAGCCCCGGCTCCCAAGCCCCAACCCGGTGACCCTGTGGACCTGGGACAAAGGGCCAGGGGCAGATTCTTGGCTGTGAGGGCTGAGCCCGGAAAGAACTCGCTGGGTCCAGGAGTGGGGGCATGGGTGGGTCAGGGCTCCGGTGGCCCCAGGGCAGAGGGAGCAGACGCCACGCTGGCAGGATGGGCACCTGCGCAGGTGGTTCAGTGTGGCCATGTTGGCAAAGGTATAGTACAGGTAGTAGGCGTAGGGTGGGTTGTCCTCCTCCACCCATGCTTCGGGGAGAGGGCTCTCCAGGTTGAAGACGTGATTCTCGGGCTTAGACTCATCATCCACGCTGTCAAAGCCATCCACCTGGCACGGGAGCCCAGGGTCAGGCCCAGAACTGCAGCTCCCCCAACCGAGGCAGGCCCCCTTCCTCTCCCCAGACCCCTGCGGCCCCCTCACGTGCTCCAAGAACAGGTGCAGCTCTGGGTGGCTGGCAGGGTGCACGGTGGCCTCAAAGAGCGGCAGGAAGATGTTCTCCAGCATCTCCTGGAAGTTGGCCAGCTGGCCCTTGGTACGGTACACATCGCTGCAGGCAAGACGGACGCACACAGGATGTGCAGGTCAGTCAGCGTGGTAGCCTGGCCTGCACTCACAGAAGCGCTTCTGCACAACGCCAGGTGGGCCAGGCTGGGCGGACCATGAGCGGAACCAGGGGGCTCCCCTTCCACTCTGATGTGGCTTGGCAGGGAGGCCCTGCCATCCCAGGCGGGCAGGAGGCAGGTGCCATCCCCTTGAACTCTGCCTCCGCACGCTCCCTCCCGCCCCAAGGGACACTCACAAGAGGCGGGGCACTTGCACGAGCCAGCGCACGTTGGGAGAGTGGACTCGGTGCTTCACAGCCCAGCACGCCAGCTTGTCCCACTCATCCCTCGAGCGCCCATAGATGGAGAGCCGCAGCTCTGCGTTCTGGTATTTGCTCTCCTCCAGATCTGACATCACCTCCTGAAAGACATGCGGGGGATAAGGAAAAACTGTCCCCCTTATCCACTCATGACACCGGGCTCCCGTGAAGTCAGGGGAAGGGCTGCCCAAGGCTCATGCTGCCCCTGCCCATGGGCCTGGGCGGTCCCTCCTCCTCACCTTGATAATGTGGGCAAAGTACTTTCCAGAAACCCTGTTGTCGGTCTTGATGAAGATCTCTCGGAGGACAGACTCCCCGATGGGGTTGTATTTGGCATTGAACTTGTCAAATCGATGGAAGGTGTTCCTGTCCTGGGGAAGAGGGGCAGGCCCAGGTCACCCGTGCTCCCTGGCCACACTCTGACCCAGCCCCTCAGCCCTGGGCCACCAGGACGGACCGCGTGCATGTCCAGCGTGTCCACACTCAGGTCATACGCAGTGAGATTCATGCTCTCAAAGACCTCCCGCAGCGTCTGCTCGCGGCCCTGCTCCACATGCACGATCTCCTCCAGGTGTCGCTTCATCGCACGCTTGATAAAACGCAGCAGGTGCTTCTGGTTCATGCAGGACGAGGCATGGATGTGTGTGTCCACCTGGGGTGCAACGGCAGGGGGATGGCCACTGGGTTCCCTGGAGGCCAGTCCACCAAGGGAGGCCGGGCGGGGGTGCAGGGCCGGGCCTGGTGGGGAGGCCCCACCTTGCGGATGTTGTAGAAATCCCGGTGTGGCACCTTCTTCTGGGCGGCCAGCTCCTTCATCTCGTTGAGCAGCACATGCATCTGGAACTTGGAGCTCAGGTATTGGAGCCGGCGATAGCAGAAGGACTTTCTGGGGAGGGACAGAACACAGCTGAGGCTCTGGGCCACATGTGGCAGGGGAGAGGGTGGGGAGAGCACTGAGGCTGCGCACGGGGCAACGGATGGGGGGAAAGTCTGGGTTGGTAACTGTGAAAGGGTGCGAGGGGACAGCAGGTGTGTGCAGCAGGGCTGGGGCGGGACGGTCCAGGTTGGAAGGAAGCGGAGAGTCTGGGCCTGGCAGGAACTCACATGGGGCCGTTGATGATCAGAGCCATGAGCACATTGACGTCTGCCACAAATTCCTGCAGGTCAGGGTACGGCAGCTCCACCTCTAGGCAGCTGGCAGGTGCGGGGAGCTCGGGTGAGGAAGCAAGTTGTGCCCTGTGGGCCCTCCCCAGCCAGTGCAGCCCACACACAGCTCCCCCCCAGCACTCCCCACACCCGCTTACTGCTCATCGGGTTCCCTGCGGGTGTAGACATGCACCACGCCCTGCACCATGCGCAGACCCAAGCCCAGGTCCCCAGGCATGGTGCTTGGCTCACAGTACTCATAGGGATGCTGCTCCAGCGCGGGGGGGTGCACCGGGGCATCTGCGGGGCAGGGAGGGCAGAGTGAGGGCTCTTCCGGACCATCTGCTGCCCCGCACAGAGGCCCCATAGAGGGGGAGAGCTCCTGCCCCTGCCTCCACCCACCGGGAGCCAAGAGGCTGGCATGAGCCTGGTGGGAGGGAGGAGGGTGAGAAGTAGGCGGGGTGTAGTTTCCCAGGGAGTTGGGGACATAGGGGTGCTTGGAGCAGGGCAGGGAGGGGGGCTCCCACCAGCAGACACAGGGGTGTCGGGGCCCTGCTCGTAGGTCCGTGTCTCCAGAGGCTTCTCAGCCAGCTGCTGCAGGTACCGGCGGGTGGTGGGGCAGAAACTCTGCAGCGAGAGGGCCATGTACTTCTCCCGGATGAAGAGTGCCCGCACCACGCTCTTGGCCGCGTCCAGCAGGTCTGTGAATGGCACCTAGAGACAAGGACCCGGGGTCACTCTCCCTGCTCTCAGACCCAGACCAGGCTCACCCTTGCCTCCTCCCCGAAGCCTTGACCCTGGAAAGAGTGCATCCGCTAGCTCCCAGCCACAGACCCCTTGCCCCTCCTGCTTTTGGGAAGAGAAATGCCCTCTCTGAGCCGCACCCAGCTCCGAGGCTGGGGGAGCCCACTGGGACACATGGGGATGACAGGGGTAGAGAGACCCAAGGCCCTGCCCACACTGACCCCACACTTCTCCTCGCCAGAGATGGTGACCCGCTGAAATTCCCGCTCTAGCACCACATCTCGCTCTCGCAGGCCCCGGTCGCCTTGCCCCTCACCCTGTTCCTTGTAGAGCCTAAAAGGGGTGAGCACAAAGAAGGGGGGCTAGAGCCCGCAACAGGACAGGCCCCAGCCCCACATCCCCCTGCGCCCCTCCACCCTCCTCACTGGAGGTCTGAAGCACTGTCTGTCTTCAGGAAATCTTGCTTGGCCCGAAGCAGGATGTCTGGCTCCAGCCTAAAAGGGAGAGGCACAAGAGGTCAGGCCAATGACAAGGGATGCCCCGGCTCTCAGGTCCCTGCCCTGTGCTGGCTGCTGTGCATGTGTTGTTCCTCAAGGCCCCCACGTTATAGACGAGAAAGCACACCCCGAAGCTGAGTGACATGTTCTAGGCCACACAGGTGGGTACCACACAGAACCAGGACCCAGCAGCCGTACTCCAAAGCCTGTGCTTCAGACCACTGCTCTATGCTCCCTCCCTAGTGGGTCCCTGAGGGAGGACGGAGTGGTTAAGGGACAGAGACGGGGCTCTGAAGGTGTCCCAGTGGAGACAGAGGGACACTGGGCAGACAGCCCTGTGCCCCCTCCATGCCATGGCTGCCTGCCGGACTGTAGGGCTGTGGCTTACTTGACATCCTGGCTGATCTGCCTCTCCAGGCGCTGCCTCCGCTCCTCCAGCTGCTCAATGGGGCTCTCCTCCGGAAACTCGTATGGGGCGCTGCGGAGCTCACTCTCAGCCAGGGAGCGGCTGAACAGCTCCTGGTGGGAGGGAAGGCAGGGTCAGTGTGCCAGGCCCTCCCCTGCAGCATCTAGGGCTGGGGTGGGCGCAGCAGGAGCTGGAGGTACCTGGGAGAGAGGCTAGGGGTCAGAGCACAGCCAAGCGTGGAGTAAGGGGATGGCTGAGATGGAGGGGTGTGGGGAGCAGAGACAGGGCATGGGGACAGCAGTGGAGGGACACAGGGTGCGGTGCCAGGTGATACCTCGGCGATCTCCTTGCATTTGCCATCCATGGACGTGCGCAGGTCAAGTGGGAAGTGCTTGAGGCAGGGGGCAGGGCCTGGCAGGGATCGGGCCGACTGCAGCGGAGGGGCCCCCAGCCCACCCCGAGCCTCTGTGAAGACAGCGATGCCAGGGTCAAAGGGTGGAGGGCAGGGCCTGGGTGCACTAGACGCCCAGGGCCCCCACGCACCCCAGGCCTGTCCCAGAGAGAGGCCAGATCCTGCAAAGTGGGCCGTGCCTCCTCAGAGGCCGAGGAGTGAGCCTGCCTGTGGCTCCCAGAGGACCTCACCTTCACCTTCTGGCACGGGGCCCCTCACCCATTCCAGGCTCAGGCGTGGGGGTTCCTGAGGCAGCCTCTAGAGCTAGAGGATTCACTCACTCCGGGAGTAAGAATCCGAATTCTGCACTACGAAGTGCTGCCTCAGTGAGCAGGCGACCTCCTACAGGCAGGCACACACGTACACGCATGCTCATGTGCACGCACACACACACACACACACACACACCGCGTGCTCATGAAGGACCCAGTGGCCGAGCCAGCAATCCCCAGTCCACGGCTCCCAGGGCAGGCAGGCCGGCCCTGATCAGACCTGCTTCTGGACCCAATGACCCTCCTCCCGGAAACCCAGGGCCTGTGCCCGACATCCCAGACCTACAGAGCGTAGGCAACATACAGCTGCCACTCAGCTCTGACCTGGGCACCAGAACCCAAGGGAAGAGGACAGGAAGCGGAGGGCCTGGCTGGCAGCAGGAACCCTACCTCCTCCCCAGGGGCGTGCCCTCTCCCCCAGGACCCTGGGGCTGCCAAGATGCAGCCTGGCCCCAGCTGGCCCCTCCCACTGCTGGCTGCCCCTCCAAAGGGAGCTGCCACAAACAGTCTGCGCCACTCAGAGGCCCCAGGATCTGGGCCGGAGGCCCCAGGGAGGGCCCGGGGAAGGGAGGATCAGAAGCCAGGGCCTCTCCACATGGAAGGCTGAACTCCTCAGCTGCACCACCAGGACGCAGGCACTAAAGGCCCTGAAGCTGCTAGTCTGGGGGCTGCCTGAGCTCCCAGGCAACTCGGACCTTCCCTGGCCTACCAGCCCCCCCTCCCTCCCCCCGAGAAGCTCTCCACACCAAACTCGGCTCTCCCAGCCCGAGAGCCCGCTCGGAAGGGGACTGCTGTCCAGCACCCTCCTTTCCCCATCTTAGGGATGGATTGGAGGCTCTGCCCAGGTAGCATGCCTTTAAGTCTGTGGGCTCACTTCACGATCCTCCAGAGTTGGGTCCAGAGGCTGGACAAAGGGAAGCAGAGGTACCTGCCCTAGAACCAGGACCCAGCCCCCGCTCTCCCTGGTGCCACCCTGGGTCCTACCTACAGAGTTCGGGCAGCTCCAGCCAGCAGCCCTGGGCCCCTCGCCCGCCCGCCGCTTTGCTGAGTGGAGCAGTAGCCAGTCCCCCAGGACAGCTCAGGGGCCGGCACGGGCTGTACCAAGTGCTGCTGCATGCAGGGGAGACCCTAGGATGACAGAGAGCAGGGGGCTAGGGAGGCCCAGGGGAGCCAGAAATCAAGGGAAGGAGCATCAGAGTTGGGAAATAAAAGCAAGCTCAGAAAGGAACAGCTTTAACCTATACGGTAAAAAGCGCCAGTAAAAAGGCCTGGCCTACAGGGGAGCCCCCAGGGGGGCGCAGCAGGGTAGGCTGATACAGGGAGGGCCGGGGCTGAGCCTCCCATCCTCTGGAACAGTGAGCAGGTAGGGTCAGGGCGACCCAGGGGTAGGGGGGGAGAAGGGGAGGTCAGCAGCCCTCATCTCTGCACATAACAGCCCCAGGCCAGCTTGTTTTGCTCACCAATGTCCCCTGCGTCCCTGTCTGTGGGGTCCCCGGGGACAGACAAAGCCTCTTCCAGGGAGAGAAGCTGGCAGGCAGTGAGGGAAGTGACTCAGTCCAGGTAGGGACCAGGTACTGAGCTTCTCTGCTGCCCATGGGGCCTGATCCATGGCTCCCCAGACATCCAGTCTCCTTTTGAAGCCTATCATTGGGAACAAACTGTCCAGGAGGAAAAGTGTGGGAGATAAAGGACTAGAATCTGGAGGACTTGAGTCTGACTCAGTTCCCACTTACTAGCCTGTCTCTGCCTCCCGGAGGCTTCAAGTCCTCTCTATAAAGGGGCGATAAGCAGAGCCAGCCCCATCTACACCCACCAACCACCTTAAGGCTCACAGAGATACGGCTCTGCAAGTGTTGTGTAAAACACCATTATCTGCGATTATAAACTCCTGGGACCCTCCAAAACACCTATCACATAGAGTCCAACCTACAGGGAGGCCTACTCAGGCCCAGTGCGGGCCAGCACAACCAAACCGTGAAGGACAGGAAAGAGAACGGAACTTGATGGGAGAAGAGATTGGGGGGAGGGAGGGGGACACTATCTAGTCCTTGGAAGAGGGCAGAGTAGGAAGAGGAAAGAAAGATGGGCACCTGCTCCATACCCAGAGTATAAGACAGAGCCCCAGGTCCTTGCCTGCCCAAGAACCCTGACCTTACACAACTCCTCCCTCCTAGCCCCCAGCAGGAGAGGCCGCCCACAGACCTCCAGGGCAGCAGGAGCTGAACTGAAGGTCCTAATCTCACCCTCCCGTCTGAGCAGGGTGGCCCAGAATGTCAACAGAAACACTGGGGTGACGAGGAGAGGTTCCAGCGGCCAGAACCCTTCCTCCAGGCTGCAGGTCTCCGCACAGGGTTCACTAGAGGTGAGAGGCTCCATGCTCCCTGAGTCCAGGCCTAGAAGACCCAGCTTCCTGCCTGCTGGTCCCTTCCCCAGAGCCTGTGCACTGCACCCCCCACACACACACACACGTAGTCCACCAAAAGCCAGAGGGAACTGCTCCCACCAACCAAGATCTTGCCTCCTCATCTACCCTCTGACCAGGAGTCCCTCACTCCCTGCCAGGACTGCCTCAGTCAAGAGGCAGAGACATGCCCCAGGCTTCAACCCCTAAGTCTCAGATGCTCCCACTGAGTGACCACCCAAAGATTATAGATCTAGCCCCAGGGGACACACTCTCTGGAGGGCCCAGACCTAGGCACAGAAAACACAGACCCTCAGAACAGCCCTGACCTCTGGGCAGGATTTTCAATGGCATAAGAAAATACCAGAGATGGATGGGCAGGCTATAGGTACAGATAGCTGCTGGGGGGGGGGGGGGAGACGCTGGCTTGACCTGGTCACCAAAATGGGGGGTGGAAATGTCCTTCCTTAGCCACAAAGCCTGGGGGCAGCAGACGATAGGTAGATATCCCTCAGCTAGCAGACTCAGGCAGACTCAGGGGATGGACACAGCCACACCACGCTGCCTGCTCCAAATGGTGCAGAGATGCCTCCCAAAGCGGGAGCCAAACCAAAGGGTGCAGGAGCACACAAGCAGGCAGTGGCCCCAGCCCGAGCCCCCGAAACAGGCCTGGCCCAAGGACACCCCATACTTCTGAGGAAGTCCACAGAAAAACCAGGAATGGGCCAACAGCAAATGATGGATATGGTTGAGCCCCCAGCCCTCAGGATGCCCAGTAGCAACGAGTGTGCCCTAATATCAGAGCCCCCTCCCCAGGAAGGGGATTCCAGATCTAGGGTCCTAGAAAGAAGAACTAAGCACTAAGCCCGAGCCTGCCCGGTAAAGACACAGCCGCCAGCAGTGTGGCCAGCCCACAAAGCAGCCAGTCCCACACATCTCCCTCTCCATTCACACACGCTCCACATGCACACGGTCTTAGCACATCCGCACGCTGACACGTGTGCAAACACACCTCTTGCTGCACCCACACCTGCGCCCACTCCTTGTTACCGAGGGCAGCACCCCCAACACAGAAGCTGTCACCTTCCACTCCACCTTCCAAGCCAGCTGTCCCTGGGACGGAGGACAAGGAGGGGCATCACCCCAGAGGGGGTGCAGGTGCAGCCCCTCCCACACACACATACAGGACCAGTGGCCTGGGCTAGCGGTGGTCGGGTAAAGCCGGCGCCCTAGGCTAGGAAGCCCACACTCACCTGGTACTGCAGAGGAGGCCTGCAAGCTGACCCGCTTCTTAAAGGGATATTTGGCCTTGGGATTGCCGGGGCCAGATGGGTTGGATGCCATGGCTCCAGCCGCGGAGATGGCGGGGGTTCTCCGAGCCGCTCCAGCTGGGCCCGGCTCTGCCACATCCAACCCCTTCCTCCGCTCCGCCCCGCCCCCAGCGGGAGTGACTGATGCAGGAAGCAGAAGCCCCGCAGGCGGAAGAGGCCCTAGCCACGATTTCTGATGTTGTCTAGGCAACCTCGGGAAGGGGGGCCTCCATCCCCGCCTCTTATCCCCTCCCTTCCCTCCTCAGACCCTGGAGTGACGCGACTGCTGCTAGCTAGGCCTGGGGGGCGGAGGTGGAGGGTGGAGGTTAGCAAACAAGATGGGGAAGGGCCAGCCCCCAGCACTCCACTGACCCCTTCAGGAGCCCTTGCCCCTTGCCAGGGCTCTGGGGCACAGGAGTCAAAGTCCAGGCTAGCTGGTCCAGCCAGCATAGGAGAAAAAAATAATAATAAACAGAAATCCAGCACGAGCTCCCCCAAACTCAGAACACACTGTCTCAGAGCAAGCGTTCTCCGTGAAAACCCAGCCCCTCTGGGGCACAGTCCCTTTTCCTCTTCTCTATCAGACTCCCAGCCCCAGGGGTAGTCCAGCTCTGGGAGGATGGGGGTAGACCTGAGAATCCCGGCCCAGCAGGGAGGAGCCTGTCTTGGGAAAATTCCACTGGCCGGCAGAAGCTACCTTCTAGGACGGCAGGGAGGCCAGGAGGCAGGGGCTTCTGGTGGGGGGGGGGGGGTGGGGGGCGGCGGCTAGGAAAGAGACTCCAACAACTTCAGACTTTTCTGTCTTTTCGCACTCAGGCTCTGCTCTCCCAGGCCCGCCCCAGGAGGAGACGGCCACCTTCCCTAGGTCTGCTGGCTGTGCTGAGACCCCCACCCGCTTGTCACCCTGGCCATGCACTTCTCCGTCCCAGAGACCCTCCCCCCAACAGACGCGCACATACACTCACCTGAGGCCATGCTGCCCGAGTCCGCAGGGGTACCGGGGAGGCTGCCCGCCAGGGTCTGCCCAGCAGAAGGAGGGGAGGAGGGCTGGGACCCAGATCCTGGCCAAGTCCCTCCGAGGACCCCTGCCCCCGGCACGGATATGGAAGAAGGAAGGCAGTCTTTAAAAAATGCCCAGAGGCGGGAGGTGGGCCCCGGTAGACCTCGGCCGCTGCACGGACCTTTCGCGAAGACCCGGGAGTCCCGACCCCCAGCTCTCTGCTCAAGAGGCGAGCAGGCCACGTGCTTCCCAGAGAACAGGACCCGGAACTCGTCTGAGCTTCTCTCCACACTCTCTGGGTGTTCGGGATCGGACTACCGAGGCTGGACTGCGGGGGAGTCACGCAACAGGTGCGACCCCACCAAAGCCTTGCTAGAGCCAAGGAGCTTCTCCGACGCCTGAGGCCCGGCCAGATCCGAGGCCCCGCCCCCACCGGGCAAGCCCCGCCCCCACCGGGCAAGCCCCGCCCCCGCCGCGTTCCGCTTCCCGGCGCCACGTGGGCAGCCGCCACTCTGCAGTTGGCCGGGCCAGGTCTTGGGCAAGTCCTGTGCGTCAGCTTCCTCATCCGTGAAATGGGGTGGTGTAATCGCACTCAAGGGAGTTACTGGGAGCATTGTTAAGCACATTGTCGTGGTGCCTGGCATAAAGTCGGTGGTTAGTAAAAGATAACTAGTAGTGTCTCAAGATTAAATCACTTTTAGAAGTCCTACCCCGGCATTCTCACTCTAGGTCGTCCGTTTTCTTCTGACAGGCATAGATAAACAGGGTGTGCCTTACAACTCTGACTCCCCTCCCCGCATTTACTTCTGTATTTATTGGTTGAAAGCTTAGACTCTGAAGACAGAATGCATGGGTTCAATTCCATACTCCTCCACCTACTTTGTGATTGACGTTGGTAAAGTTACTGGTCTCTGCTCTATTTCACCGGAAAATGACTTTGTGAGACCCTGCTTTGTATGGTGGTGGTTAAGATAAATGAGTTAATGTAAGTCAAGTCCTTAGAACAGTGCCTGGCCTGTAGTTACTATTTGGTTAATGTCTTATCCTGGCTATGTCCTTGGCCTTGGTTCCTTATTGACAACCTCATACGGTAGTGATTCTCCTCGCAGCCTATAAAGAAGTGCAGTTTAGGCTGTTTGGGGGGACTGCAGACACCCCACCCAGCTAGCACCCCACTTCCAAGTGACAGAGAATCCTACCTAAAGGGAACTTGAGGGGGGTGTGCCTAAGACCACTGGAATCTTCAGTGTGTTAGCAGCAATTAGTCTTTTTCCTATTTCTCCACCTTGTGAGAGCCCTTTGTCCCCCACACCCAGCTGTACTAATGCTGTTTGTCCAGCTCCTCCCAGTTCTCACCACCCCCACAGCCAGATTCCTTCTCAAACTCTTGCCTCCTCCACCTCTCCCCAGGCTGGATTCTGGACCCTGAGCCCTATTATCCCTGTATATCTGGTTTCACCTCTATTGATCTCTACCTGCTGCTCCTCACCATGGGCAAGCTCAAAAAACCATGGCCTCCACAGACCTGGGGGTGGGGGAGTTCACCTCACAAAGAAGCAACACAAGAAGGGAAATTCCATGTTTACCCATCAAATTAACAAAGATTAAGGGGGAAAAGTCCTAACGCAGGCAAGGGGGTCATGAGATGGGACACACACATACTACTGGTGGGCACCACGAGCAACATAACCTGTCTGAAGGCCATTTGGTAATACATAATCAAGCATCTTTAAAGAGTTCATTATTACTTGACCCTGTAACTCCACTTTCAGAAAATGGTTGTGCTGAAAAGAGCTGCCAGAAAAATATGCACAAATTTGTTCATCACTGCAATGTTTATCACATAGAAAAGCTGGAAACATTAAGGTCCAACAACAGGGGGATGTTTCAATTTTGTCAGATGCACACAATGAAATACAACCATTAAAAATTGTTCTTGGAAAAAAAAATTGTTCTTGGAGAACTTCTTAATGAGGTGGATATTTATAATGTAAGGTGTGGTTTAAAAAAATGAACGTAAAAATCTGTACATACAGTATGGCCCTAAATATGTGACATATATGCATAGAAAACAAACCACCAGAAGGTTTACAAGTGGTTATCTGTAGGCAGTAGAATGGGGAATTATATTTATTTCCTTCTTTATACTCATCTGCATTTAAAAAATTGTCTACAATGCATATCCATTACTTTTATAATCAAGGACATAGAAAACAACAAATCTGTAATAGCCTCCACACCCCACCCCCACAGACTCTCCTGGGTCTTAACCCCAGAATAAATTGGTCTTGGGATCTTTAGGAATTTTGAAGCCATTACGCCCTCAACAATGAGTAACAAAATAAATCTCGAAATTAAAAATCAAGCAGCAGGTAACCATGTAGAAGGTCATCTATATTCTGACAAAATGCAAATTTTGACATAGTTTTAAGGGGTGGTATCTTGTATTGGGCTAGGTCTCATTAGGATTCCCCCTTGATTCAGACCTACCTACCTAATCAGCCCATAGGTGGCAATCCCTTCCCTCCTCCTCACACAGGCAAACCGGTTCACTAGTCCCTTCGTGCTCCTCCCCAGTCCCACTGCAACACACCCTTCACCTGGTAACCCTCCCCTATTTCCAGGCCATTTGGTACGCCATCCCTGCTTGGAAGTGTGTGCTGATTACAGCTAAGCATCGATCTCCCCACCTACACAACACCAGAAAAAATCTCAGCGGGGTTCATGGTCTACGTAGAACAGTTTGGGAAATGAAGGAGTGAGTCATCCCCCTTGGCCTCCAGCTTCTTAAATGTTGTCTTTGAGCCTCTGGGATCTTCCCTAGCTCTAAACACAGCTTCCTCCCCTCCTACCCTATTCACCAGATGGTTCCTTTTAAATGGCCCTCCCTGAGCCCTAGGCCCCCACTTAATTCTCTGATGAAGGCTTCTCTTAGACTCTGGCCTGCAGCCCACTGTGACATCAGCTTCCCCCCAGGCCAGACCACTCTTTGCGGACACTGGGCTTGGGAGGGAATGCCTGCAGCCTCACACAGGTCCTTGGCCAGAACAGTGCCTCAAAGCATCCCCTATGCCCAGATCTTCTCCAACGAAGCTGCTCGGCTCTTACTTCTCAGCTTGCCCAGACAGCCCTGTCACCCCTGACCCCAGTCCCCCAACACTGTTTATAGCACCGTGCAGCTGTACCCAGCTGTACTTGTTTTTGTCTTCAAATGGTTTTAGCCACGCCCTGCCCTGCCACTCCAGGCCCTCACTGGCTAGCCCCAATGCTGCCCCTTCACCACCCTCAACTGGCCGATATATCCCATTTTGTCTTTCCTGAGCACAGTTTGCACTTCAGGCCTCCACGCCTACTCTCATGCTTTCCTCTCCCCAAAATGCCTTACCCCTATTTCTATGTTCTGCTTCTCTAATAAAAGTCTATTCATTTAGTCACTTCCTCCTTTCTTCCACAGAATTTTTCAGTCTGACAGTTAAATATGTTTATAATTGTCTTGTCTATCAGAGGTGGAGGTTGGGTTTTAAACAGCTCTGAATTCTCCAGCAAAGCGTTCCTTTCATTAAACTGTTTCTCTATGAATTTACCTCTCCTCTTCCTTTGGACTGGAAGGTCCTGAAGGCAGTTCCTCATTCATGTGTCCCCAAGCCCAGCCAGGACAAGACTTTACCCACAGTCCCCACCACTGAGGGTAAGACAGATCCTGAGATCTCCCCTTAGCCCAGGAAACAGGACAAAACTTGGTGGGAAATGGTGAGTCTTCTTCCACTCATTTGGTTATCAGGCTGTGAACCAGGACTCCTGAACTCTAGCTGATTCTAGCTTGTTTATTAAGGTGAGGATCATCTTTCTGTGCTTCTAAATGCGAATAGCACCTACATGCTTTACGTACTCCACTAGGACACTGAATTCAAATTAATAAAGTAGAACAGTCACAGGAAAGGCTCAGGAGCTGACGACGGGAGGCAGGAGGTCACTGGCACCAGGATGGGTCAGCACAATTAGAGGCCAGGCATGGGTCAGGAGCTCCCTTACCAGCTTAGTAGTAGGAATGGGAACCCAGCAAACTGGGAAACAAGTAGAAGCAGCACAGAAGTTTGCAGGGGTGGTAGCTGAAAAAGGAATAGCTCGAACATTTTCCCTATGCGTGAAACAAGTTCATGGTTCTTTTCAA